TGCAATTGGGATTTTTTTCTCATCTTTTATTTTGCTTCACCATTCTTGTTTCAAACATCTTTAAAATGGGAAAAAAGGCCTGTAAACATCCAGAATATTTGAAAATTTTATGGAAAACAGTGATTAAGTATAAATACAAGCGAAAAATGTTCTGGGTTTGGATTTTCTTATAGTAATTTGCCTGCCAAGCATCAATTTTAATAGATCAATACTTGTTATTCCAGTCTCTTTTTCTTGATATATTTCACACGCATTTGTAAATAATGGTGATCTCTTGGTAGGTGAATGCGCATGTAAAAACACTTAAAACATTGTGCAAACGGAAGGCTATGCAATCTGCTGAAGCCGATGAGCATATCCTAACATGGGTAAACCAGCTGCTCTCCAAAGCCTCTCAAATATTGGAGAAGTATATATCCAAGCATAGAAAAGCAAAAAAAGATGTGAACTTCATAACACCACCTCCTAAAAGTGGTAGTAGATTGGGAAAGCGAGCAACTGCCCCGAGCAAGTCACTGTCACGAGCAATCACTGCCGCTTACACCATTGGCTCTTTGATTATCATCTGTCCATCTGCTGACATAACTACCATCATACCACTTCTCCACACCGTTATCACGTCTGGAAACCGTGATTCCAAATCGAATAAACTACCTATTCAAACGGTATCTATAAGGGAAACTGCGCCTTCTTTATACGTTCAAGCATGGTTGACAATGGGGAAGATTTGCCTTGCTGACGAGAAGTGTGCAAAGAGCTACATTCCTCTATTTGTACAGGTTAGGTTTTGATTCTTTATTTATATCGTTGAGAATTGTTGGGAGGGATTCCCGCTAATTTAGGGAATGATCATGAAGTTATACGTAAGGAATACATCTCCACTAGTATGAGGCCTTTTGAGGAAGCCCAAAGCAAAACCATTAGAGTCTATGATCAAAGTGGACAATATCATACTATTGTGGAGAGTCGTGATTTTTTATGATTTGCATGAATGTTGTTTAAACAAGTAGATTTCTGGCATTAGTCTGGTTAAAGGAATAATACCACGATAACTACATGAGTTCAATCATATACTCTTTTTGGAATATCATCCATTGTAGAATTGAAGTGTTCCCCCTACCAATAAATTTTGATCGATCTGTTTGTTATTGAAGTTCTCTCTTCTTATGTACATATATATAATAAATAAATAATTAAAGTTCTTCCTCCATGTCTTATAATAGATATCAAAGCTATAATCGTGGTACATACTACTTTATCAATGTCTTTTATGCAATCAAAATTTACTTTTGATGCACCTCTAGTGGCCTAAATTTTTTATGTTAGTTCAGGAGCTTGAAAATAGTGACTGCGCAGCTCTCCGCAACAACCTTGTTATCACGATGGCAGATTTTTGTGTACGCTATACTGCTCTAGTTGATTGGTAAGACTAATGCACGATGTGAGTGTTTGGCAATGCCAATGATAGTGAAGTCTTTTAATATTTCTTCCATGTTACTATCTAACCATCTCTGAATTGAACAGCTACCTTACGAAGATCACGAAATGCCTTCGCGACCCTTGTGAACTTGTCAGAAGACACACATTCATACTTCTATCGAGATTACTACAGGTAATTCTTCTAACCCCTAAAAACTTGAGATTTTCACTTCTCCATAATAGTGTAACGACCCAAGCTCACCGCTAGCAGATATTGTCATTTTTGAGCTTTCCCTCTTGAGCTTCCCCTCAAAGTTCTTAAAATGTGTCTGCTTGGGAGATGTTTTTACACCCTTATAAAGAATGCTTCGTTCTCCTCCCCAACCGACGTGGGATCTCACAAATACCATTTTAATTTTCAGAGAGACTATGTGAAATGGAGAGGGGTTTTGTTTCTTCGGTTTCTCTTGTCACTTGTCGACGAATCAGAGAAGATTCGTCAACTAGCAGATTTCCTTTTTGGGAACATTTTAAAAGGTTAGCATTACTAGCCGTTCTCATGGTTATAATATTGATCACATCATTACAACATGCCAATACATTTGAATTGTGAAACTGAATTTGCAGTAAAGGCGCCACTTTTGGCTTACAACAGTTTTGTAGAAGCAATTTATGTTCTGAATGACTGTCGTGCCCATTCTGGACATAACGATTCGAAGGCTTCGAGAGCTGAAAGCCGATTATTCTCTATTCGGTAAGAGGAATGTTTGAACTTTGTGACATGTTATCACAATTATCTGTAAGAAAATGATTGAAGTTCATATTCTTAGAGGTAATGATGAAAGTTCGAGGCGCAGGAGAATGCACATTTATGTTTCTTTGTTAAAACAAATGGCTCCCGGACATCTCCTGGCCACCTTTGCAAAGCTATGTTCAGAGATTCTTGGTGAAGCTTCAGATGGTAAACTCAGTATGGATGATACCACTGCACGGTCTGTTTTACAGGTTCAAATTCAAAAGCTTTCAACAATCTTTGTATTTTTTCTTTTCTTCTTTTCTCTTCTTTAGTGTTTACATACTAGAATCTTATTAGTTCTCCTTGGCTGAGATCGCAGGACACCTTTGATATTCTTGCTTGTAAAGAGATTCGATTATCGATAAATCGAGGGTCGTCGTCGGAATCTGGTGATGTAGATGAGGAAGGAGGCGAGAGCGGAGGGGTGTCTGCTGCTAGAGGAAAGGTCATCACTCATGTTGTGAGAAAAGGTCTCATTCAAAACTCCATTCCCATCTTCACTGAGCTAAAAAGGCTAATGGAAAGCAAGAATAGCCCTCTTATAGGTGTGAAATCACTTCTTTAAATGCTTTTTACGTAGAAATTCGTTCCAAACCGACCCTGCGATATGTTTAACCTTTTATACTTTCTGAAAATAGGTTCTCTTATGGAATGTCTTCTAGTTCTTCTCAAAGACTACAAGAACGACATCGATGACATGTTGGTAGCTGATAAGCAACTTCAGAAAGAGCTCGTCTATGACATTCAAAAGTACGAAGCTACCAAAGCTAAGTCGGCCGCGGCCGAGGCGGTCAACGAGATGCAAAAGTCAGCTAATTATCTTTCTCCTGAGGCTCCTCCTCATGTTAGAAACTCCATTAACAAGCTAACCTCCAAACTCCAAAAGGACTCAAGAGTTGCTTCAGCCATTGCTGATGTAACCGCTGCAGCCACAGCTAAGTCTGTGCTTAGAGAAGTGAATAGAGGGACTTCGACGCCGCCTCTTGGTTCTCTAAGTTTGCCTAAACTCAAGTCTTGTACTGGAGGAAACAATGGCGCAAATACCTCACGCTTGAATGTGATTGAATCTGTGAGGAAACGGCAGTCTTTTGATTCTGATGAAGAAAACTAATGTGCATAAGCTAACCAGGTAACGTAGTTTGATATTTTGTGAAGCTTTCAATGTTGTAATCTTGTTCTCTTTTGTTTATGTATTTAATTTCTTCTTCCATGTGAAATAGAAGCTTATTAGAATGGTAAGTATGAGAGAATGTGTTGAGAATGGCTCGTGAATGTGAGAAATTTTGTGTGATTAAGGTAAATTTGTACCATATGAAATCCTCTCGATTTGGGATTCAAGAGTTTTAACATTTGTGATCTAGTAGTTGGTAGGTTCGTAAACATTCTAAGATCCAATTAGTTAAGATTTTCATATCAAAATGACATCTAGGCGGAAATCCTCTTGATTCGGGATTCAAGAGTTTTAACATTTGTGATCTAGGAGTTTGTATGTCCGTAAACGTTCTAAGATCCAATTAGTTAAGGTTTTCATATCAAAATGATGTCTAGGCGGAAATCCTCTTGATTCGGGATTCAAGAGTTTTAACATTTGTGATCTAGGAGTTTGTATGTTCGTGAACGTTATAAGATCCAATTAGTTAAGGTTTTCATATCAAAATAACGTCTAGGCAGAAATCCTCTTGATTCGGGATTCAAGAGTTTTAACATTTGTGATCTAGGAGTTTGTATGTTCGTAAACGTTCTTAGATCCAATTAGTTAAGGTTTTCATATCAAAATGACGTTTATGTGGAAATCCTCCATTTGATCGACGTTGTCAAGATTTAAATTAAGAATAAACTTTAAAAGTTTAATTATCAATTACTTTACTTTTAAGCCATGTCTATTTAGATAACATGAAGATAAACTTGTTCTTATAGATCACGAAGCAATTTGAAACATTCCAATGGTAAATCAAGTTAAGAGTTCAAAGGCGAACAGGGAAGAGACTTTTCGAACTTCCAGAATTACAGCAACAATAAGGAACTTCCAGAATTACAGCAACAATAAGACCGATCGAAGAGAGTTACCTATTTACATAGGCTTAATTTTGAGTGAATACTAATAAAAGTTTGGAACGTTGTGTAAATATATTTTTAATTTTTTAATTTTATATTTAATAAATTTGTAAATCTTAAAATATCAAAATTGAAATATTAAATTTATAATTTTAAAAATAGAGTGATTAATACTTAATTTGTAATTTAACGAACCGTAAATCTAGTTAAAGATGAAGTAGGTGTGATCCATGTATTGTTTATTTTAATTCCTATTAAAAATATTTATTTATAATTTCATATAGTTTCTTAGTAACGGATGTTGAATCGATAATTATATTTTATTACATAAAATGGATTGAACTCATATTAAAAAAAAAAGGTGAAATACTTAATTGTTAAGATATGTGTACACGTGTAATCCTATTTTATCCAAATAATGGTAATTATTTAGACTAAATTTAAATTCAGGGTATGTATATATATATATATATATATATATATATTTAAGTTTATCTAGATGTTAATACTTTAATGTAATTTCAAGGAATTTAATTTAACTTTAAATTGTTATCTAATTTAAATCTAAAATTTGATAGTGTTTATTTTAGGGTTTGAAATTTAATAAATATTATAATTATCTGGAATGAGAATTAAGCCATCCATCCTTATTATTATAATTAATACCTTTTTTTTTTTTTAATATTATTTTTTGAAAATTTATTGCTTAAATCTCACCTTAAATCTCCGAAAGTCTCCACGGCTTTTAATGGAAATGAAAAGTCCTGTCTGCTGACGAACGAAGGCCATTGCAGCAGGCCAACTCCGAGCTCGGTGTTCATGGGGAAATTTTTTCTATTAGGAGTTCAATCTTCTGAATGAATCCCGATCCTCATCTTTCTCCGAGTTTGAAGCTGTCAATCTTCTTTCATCAGGCACGACTCTCATTCCTCATCCTTTCTTATCTATCGTGTATATATAATGTGGATGATAATGATGTATACTCTAGCTTAGCCTTGCTTATGTGATTTTGTTGATCCGCTCACTGCCAGTACTGTTGCGAAATTTGATAGTGGATTTCTATTTTTTTTTTCTGTAATTTAGGTCTTATCTGTCACGAATTTGTTATCAGTATAGTTGGAATTGTGTATGAGATTGTGCTGAAGGAAATCCGGCGGTTTAGGGTTTTCTTTGAAAGATTGTGTCGGTACGATTATGGATGGGAATAAGGACGAAGCTTTAAGATGTATTCGCATAGCGGAAGAAGCAATTGCATCGGGGAATAAAGAGCGAGCACTCAAATTCATTAAAATTGCTTGTCGCCTTAATCGGAGTTTGGAAGTGGACGAGTTATTGTCGGCGTGCGAGGAAATCGACTCGAAATCACCTTCATCTTCCTCCGATGGGAAACGCACGGGAAAAGTTCATAGTGTTTCTGGTTCGGCGAATCATGTTGACGGTTTGAATGGTGAACGTAATTACAGTATTGAAAATGTTCAATTGATCAGGCAGATAAAAACAGCTAAGGACTATTACAAAATTCTTGGTGTGGAGAAAACTAGTTCGGCTGAAGAAATTAAGAGGGCTTATAAGAAATTGTCCTTGAAAGTTCACCCTGATAAGAACAAGGCTCCTGGTTCAGATGAAGCATTCAAGAAATTATCCAAGGCTTTCATGTGTTTGAGCGATGACACGTCGAGAAGGCAATATGACCACACAGCTTTGGTTGATCAATATGAGTACAACCAACAGCATAATGTAAGGCGCAGGAGAACGGGTCGTGATTTGTTTGAAGAAAATTTTGATCCTGACGAGATATTCAGGGCGTTTTTTGGGCAAGGAAATATGTTTCAGACGAGTCGTGCTTATACTTATAGCACTGGAGGTGCGAGAAGCCAACGGAGGACAGAATCTGATGGGGGAGGTCCCAACTTGTTGGTTTTACTTCTAATGTTACCATTCTTGTTAATTGTCTTGTTGGCTTATATGCCCTTTCCAGAGCCAGACTATTCTTTGCATAAAAATCTATCCTACATTATTCCCATGGCTACGGAGAAACATGGAGTGGAGTTTTTTGTCAAATCATCAGATTTTGATGAAAGATATCCTCTTGGAAGCCGAGCTCGATCTGAAATAGAGAGTAGTGTGATTAGGGATTATAAAAGCATGGTTTGGCGTTATTGTCATGTAGAACTCCAGAGACGCAAGTGGAATAAAAATCTCCCAACTCCTCATTGCGAGAAGATGAATAATCTCGGGTTTGCATAAAGGTAAACAGGGGCTCTCTCATTCTTAGAAAAGAGATCTTATTATCTTTCTGGAGATAATATCCAAGTCCTGTTGTTTGCAAGTTCAATTGTTAACTTTGCTTGAATATAAAGACTGCAATATTAAGTTTTGTTATTTTTTGAAGCTTTGTATCCCATTTTGATCCAGCCTTTTGTGTCTCTCATGTGTTAGGTGGTTTAGACTCAGATTGTTTAATGAACCTGTCTCTATATGATCCCTGAAAAAGAAATCATTATTACTGAAGTCTCTGTCTCTTATCCCAAAAAAAAAAAAAAAAAAAAAAAAACATACATCTATACCGTTTTTCCTGTGAAAGTATGATATTCATAACTCGCCAACTGATGGGAAACTGATCCTGTTTTAAATTAAAGCAGGTTATATCGATGGATTTTCAAGTTGTGAGACTCTATGCTCAGATGCAGAACGGGACACTCATGGCTGGATCACGAGGGCTAAGACCCAAAGGTTTATCGGAGTTGTGCTGAGCCAATCACTTGGCACCATTGGCATCAATGACACTGGAGTGGTACGACTCTGTAATTTTTCTATAATCACTTCCTCATGAAGTTAGTATGATCCATTTTTCAAATAAAGTCAAAACCGTTGTACAAACTGAAAGAAGATACTGATTTGCTTCTCTACATTCTTCAAATATTGAAGTGAAGCTCAAGTCTTTACTTAAATGTCCTTTTGATCATCATTCCATCTTTTCCTTCCCTTAAAATTTTTCATTTTTGTGCACATCCTTGCTCATTATTGTTCTGAATCATTTGAGTATATAATACAGGATTCACGAACATGTGAAAATGAGATTCAAATATTGCTTCTAACATAGCAGATTATTTGGCATATCCTGTTTTAGTTCAAATTTGATTAAAATAGTTATGAAATCTGTGAAGTTTATCTCCCGGAAAACTCTGTACTCGACTTCCTTGTTTGTACTTTGTAGACCCAATAACTTAAAATTAGATAGCATTTAAGGTATTGGATGACAATAATGGGATTGATAGGAGGGACACATTTTGAAAAATTTCTAGAATCTAAACGAATGTAAACTCCCAAAAGTTCCATCAAAAGAGAAAATGATAAAGAATGCTACCAATTGAAATATTGCTCCTACTCAAACTCCTTCAAAAATAAATGTCTTCCATAGGTACAACCTCAACCTCAATACATTATTCGTCCAAGCCCAATCCGAGGAATCTTATCTAGATTTTCAGAAGAAACACAAAAAAACTTCCAGTTGAGTTGATCGATCTTATATTCGAGGTTTGCTATGACCAGCAGGAGCACTCTGCATTCAAACCAAAAATAAGCATCACTTTGAGAAGCAATTATCATGATAAATATGTAACTAGGATAGGCAATTCAGGAGTGTTTCTTTCCATTCTCAATAACTCTAGGCAATATCATCCGGAGTCTCAAAGTGATGCAGCGTAGTATGTAATATGGATGAATAATTGTGACTTAGTAATTTTGTTTTAGTTTGTTGTTGGTTATTTGGTTGTGAGCCTTAAATTCTATCAGAAATGACTTCTGGAAAGTTCATTAGTCACTTAGAAGTTGGCAAGCGATCTTGTTTTCCATAGGATATTTGGATGCTCCGAGCTTTTGCCTCGAAACTTATTCCATCACATCTTTTGTTTGCCAAAATAGAGTTAATCTGTTTCTTAGCTTTCTGTTTTGGCTAGAGTTCAGCTCTTGATTTATGTGGGAGATGTATAAGAGATGAGGATTTAGTAACAGGTGCACGGAAAATAAGCTCGGTTAAATTAGGATGTAGATTTCTCACCAGAGTTGCACCCTGAGTAGCTCTTTCAGCCAAGTATCCACAAGACTTGAAAAATCCACCATACTGTTTCGACCATGCCTCCAATCTTGAATAGATGTAATTTGATCCAAGAGAATCCGCCCAGAACAGGAGTCCTCCCCTGCTTAGGGACACAAAATTTTATACACTAGTTTCGGAACAAAAGAGATATATTAAAATGAGATCAACTGGTCAAGTTAACAAACCTGTAAGAGGGGAAACCCATTCCCATTACACCAGCAATGTCCAGGTCGGCTGCTTTGACCGCTATGCCTTCTGCTAGGACACGACATGCCTCATTCACCACCGGGAATAATATCATCTCCACAATGTCCTTTTTCGATAACTTTATTAGCTACATTAACGAAATCGTTTAGACATACCTCAACAATAATCAGTTTCCCCCAGTTTCTTATACTTCCAAGGTCATAAAGAAATGCTAAATCAAGAGAAATGAGCGAACATATGTTTTGTGAGGAGACATAGGGGAGAAAGAGACCTTAGGATCAACTGAAATACCGGAAGTGCTCCGAGCCTTCTCGATATAACTCTTTAACTCCGGATTTGGCCCAGCTTTACGGTTCTGGTCATAGACATAGAAACCTTTACCAGTGGATTCACCTGAGATGTGTAATGTACACAAATGATTCTTGTAAGTAATGTAACACTGGTGAAGATCATCTAACACTACATAATAAAGGTAGCAATATATTCAATAATAGATGAAGCGTGTGGAGCGTTCTTTGAGTGAGGTTTGGAAGGAAGTGAGGTATAACGCCTCGCTTTGGGCATCCGTTTGTTGACCGTTTGTAACTATTAGCTTCACATTGGAGCCCATTCTTGTCAGGTAGTTGTAGGATTTAAGCTTATTTTGGAAGGAAAAAGCTACCTGCATTCTTATCCTCTTGCATAAGAGGAATTAGCACAGATTTATAAGTTCTTTCTGGAAAAACTTGAACAAACTGACTGGCAGTTGCTTCTGCCACACCGAAACCAACGAGGTCACACAACCTGCAGGAAAAAACAAGAGCAAATAGGAATAAAACAATTCAATAGGATTCAATGAGAACAAAATATGGTGCAAACTAGCAAACTTCTTAACCATTATAAACCTGAAGGGTCCCATTGGCATTCCAAACTTGGAAATCGCCCTATCAATTCGATAGGGATCTACTCCACGTTCGGCAAGTAAAATGGCAGCCTGAGAGTAGGGGAAAAACATTCTGTTCACAGCAAATCCTGTGCAATTTCCAATGATAATAGGTGTTTTCTTTATAGTCTTCCCAACATCTAGCAGATCAACAATTACTTGTTCATCTGTATGCTTGGTACGAACAATTTCCAATAGTGGCATGACATGGGCGGGACTGTATCAGAAGCAAAAGCTCAACGCTACGCCAAATAGATCCCGAGGGTTGGGGGGGG